GGGTGGGGTTTGTCTGGGTGGGTTGGGTGTGTTAGTTTCATTGGGTGGTGGGGTTTGGTGGGGGTGGGGTTTGTCTGGGTTGGTTGGGTGTGTTAGTTTCATTGGGTGGTGGGGTTTGGTGGGGGTGGGGTTTGTCTGGGTTGGTTGGGTGTGTTAGTTTCATTGGGTGGTGGGGTTTGGTGGGGTGGGGTTTGTCTGGGTTGGGTGTTTTCTTTGAGGACCTGCGTTTCCAGGGGGGTTGGTTTGTTTAACAAAGAGAGGCTGCTGCTGACGGCTGCTCCGCCCGCAGGGAGCTGTCCGGGGCCCCACCGCCCTGAGCGCAGCTCGCCCCCGGCTGCGGGGCCACAGCAAAGAGCAACGTGCTGCTGGGGCGAGTCACGGGAGGGGTCACGCGCCGCGCTGCGCTGCGGGGCCGGGATGCGCGGAGCTGGGCCTGGGGCGGCGGCAGGAGCCGCGGCAGGAGCCGGCAGCTACAGAACCAGGGGCCGACGTCTGGCGGGAGCCGGGGAGGGGAGGGGAGGGGGTTTGCGCGGGGCGGGCGGGCAGCGGGACTGTCCCTCTCCCCTCCCCCGCAGCTCCCGCACTTCCGCTCCCAGCAACGCTTCCGGTCCTGCCCCCATAGCAACCGTTGCGAGGAGGAAGTCCAGGTCTCACGCTGGTGACTCCTCCTGCGCGTCCCTGGCCATGGTAACGGGGTGGGAGCGGGGCGTGAGGGGCGCTGGGCGGCCGCAGTGTCAGGGCTGCGAGGCACTGAGCAGCTGTCTGGGGGGAGCACTGGGGCGGGGGGGGGGTCACTAGGCAGCTCTTTGGGGGTACAGCGGTCACTATAACACACTCTATTACCCAGTGCTGGGCCTTCTTTTTTCTCCATTTCCCCATGGGGAGTGCCCGCCCCGATCCCCTTCCTTTGGGTGAGGAAAGCCCCACTGAGAGTCTTTGACCCCTCTGCCAAACTAGAGCACCTTACAGATGCCATTGCCCCTGAAGGGCACCTGCAATGGGATGCTGCTTACCTGTTCCGCGCTAGTCACTGCCGGGGTAAATGCTGCTGGACGGATCCTCGTGTTTTGGCACGCAGCACTTTTCTGCAGGGAGGAAAACCAAGAAGCTAGTCAGCCCTCAGTAGGGATCCATGGGTGTAAAGGAGGGGAGGAGAGGGATACCCCCGCGCGCGCACACACACACATTTTGATGTAAGAGCTGGCACACAACTGTATTACAGACTGTTAATTTACTTTACTTGACTGATTTCATTTTTTTTTAAATAGGCAGAAGTAGAGGAAACACTAAAGAGGATTCAGGCACACAAAGGGGTTATTGGAACTATTGTTGTAAATGCAGAAGGTAAATATACTGCTGTTTAGAAATCCAAAATAAACTTCAGAGAGGCACTGGATGTAACCACTTAAATCATTGCAATATATCCTGTGTTATTAAACAATGTAACCACTTTACAATATTTTGCAAAAATGTAATCATTATAGGTTAGACTTTCAAAAATGCACTTTCAAAACTGATACATGCAAACCCAGATTTGTGCAGCAAAAATGCATGCACTTCTGTAAATCTGATTTTCTATTTTTAATATCCTGCAGCTTCTTTAATTCAAGATACTGAAAGTTAGAAACATCGCAAATTCCAGAATTTTGTGAATTAGGAATTAAGTGGAGATGCGCTTGTTAAAAATGCATCACATTTTGTTATTTTTGTCAACTATAGTTCTATTTTTATAATACTTTGTAGTCTGCTAGTCAATATTAATATATGCATTGTTGCTGCTGCTGTGTTGGTCCCAGGATATTAGAGAGATGAGGTAGGTAAGATAGTTGCTTTTATTGGAGAAGCTTTGGAGCTTACACAGATCTTTTCTTCAGGTCTGAGAAACTTAATATTAATATTTATAGTCGGAGACCTTGCTACAGCATCTGCCATTAAGTCTTGCTGAGAGTTGGTCAGAGACCACCATTTTTGTATGGCTTTTTAAAGTGTGCTGTTTAGCCAAATGTGGGTTAGCAAAATTCAACCATATGATGTAGAGTTGAAAGGCCAGACTTACAGTACTGGATGGTTGGCCCTTGGCATAGCTCAGAAGGTGAAGAGGGAGCAGTAAGCAGCCCCTCTTAGAATCATTCCTCTGTTTCATACCAACTTGTTTCACATTATAATATTTTAAAAGAAAATACATTAGAAACTCACTTTCTCCTCCCAAAAAAGACAAAAATATTGAGAGAAAAATATCCCACAGCCAGAAATTAGGCTTAGCCTGTTGGGCACCAGCCTCAGGGCTGCTCTAACTTCAACCATTTCAGAGGTCTCCTTGGCTTATCAGGGATTTGGTGGAAATAGTGGCTCCTGTGTTATGCTACCTGGTCCTTAAGTAGAGGGCTGCAAGTGGGGATGAGGGGGGCATGGCATGTAGTCAGATATATCAGTCCTGTGCTCCTGGAGAAATCCCCAGTTGTTCACTTAAGCCTGTTTGTGGGGCCAAGGTTCTGACCCAGAATATTTTTATTCTAGTCTCTCCCTCCCCCAAGAAAAAACACTGCATTAAATAGTTGAATATACTGTGGTAATGCTCTGACAATCCCCTGTCACTTTCACAATCCAAATAAACCCAGTATCTATCTGTTGCCCTAGTAGCAGTTCAACAACAGAAGGGAGAAAAACCAAGAGGGAATTAGAAGTGTTCTTTCAGAGGTTGGTAAATCTTGATAATTAATTTACATGCCTGGACAGGTCAAAGATGGTTCACCGGGTCACAGAATAGCTGTTGCAAGTCAAAAGAGAAATGCATGCACTGACATTAACAGTAATTGAACAATTGTATTGTGCCTGTGCATATTTGTGTCTTTCTATTAACAGTTTACTAGCTTCATGGTACAATTTGGTTTTAGGACGACTGTTTAGAAATAATACTATGTGATTTGGTCCAGTGAGCAATTATGCCCTGATTAACTTGCACACTTAAACTATGGACAAAAACAACCATTTAAATGGTGATGGAAGTATGACTGATCAGTGTTTGGAATTTGCAGATTAATTGATTGTTTTAGTTTTTTATGGACGAACAAATTAAACATCCATCCATAATATTTGAATAGGAAAATAACCCCAATATTTTTAAAACTGTTAATTTCAAGAGCAGTATTGCTTAAAATGTTGCCTACTTTATGCAAACAATATTTTTCTCATTTTTGTTGTCTTAAATTTTTAGAGGAAGAATGTTTTCTTTTTTCAGATTATGGAAATTTAAGTTTCTGCTTTGTCTTTTTAAATATTGTGAATCTTGTTTGCATGAAAGAAAGCTCACTTCTCAGCATAGCTTCATCGACATAATACAAGTACAGTATGCTTTCTCTCTCAGATCTGCTAATGCACCTCATCTTCACCTACACTTTTAGGCAGGCTCTTATGTCATTGTTTAGAGGTTATCATGGTTGTAGTATCTTTAAAGATTAACAGAGTACAATCATCATCAGCTTCCTGTTCTTGGGTCTCAGTTTTCTTGCACAGGCAGGTCAGAACACTTTATCTCTCTGGTTTGACCCATTGGGGCACTGATAGATGAGCATGAGGCCCTCCCTGTGTTCGGTTCCAACTGCCATCACCTCACCTCCCTCTAGAATCTTTTTTGGCCAGAGTCAATCAAGGATCTCCCAGGAAAACCTGTCGTATGAAAGGAGACTAGAGGAGCTTGGGTTGTTTAGTCTGACAAAGCGAAGGCTGAGAGGGGATATGATTGCTATCTTTAAATATATTAGAGGGATTAATACAAGGGAGGGAGAA